AGCATCTACACACTATGGTATAGATAATGGTATTTACACAGCTTTTACTTTCTGACTGCCCATCACAATTCTTAAGGTGCTAAAATACCAGGACAGTAGAAACACCCCCAAATGACCCCTTTTCAGTTAGTAGACACCCTAAGCTATCTGCTGAGAGTCATATTGAATCCATGGAAGATTTATTTTTTTCCACAAGTCTCTGGAAAATGACAAAAACATTTTTTTTACACAAAGTTGTCATTTAAATTATATATTTCTCACACAAGCCATGGGTATATGTGGAATTACACCCCAAAATACATTCTGCTACTTCTACCGAGAATGGGGATACCACATGTGTGAGACTTTTTGGGAGCCTAGCCACATACAGGAGCCTGAAATCCAATGACCACTTTGAAAGCCTGAAGGTGCGTAACTTTCTCATTTCACTTCCTCACTACCTATCACAGTTTTCGGAGGCCCTGAAATACCAGGACAGCACCAAACCCCCCCCCCCCCCAAATGACCCCTTTTTAAAAAGTAGACACCCCAAGGAATTTAAAAAGGGGCATGATGAGTATTTTGTAGATCTCATTTTTTTTCCGCAAGGTTTAGAAATATAAAAAAAGAAAATAAATTTTTTTTTGTTTTCTTTCTTCATTTTCTAAAAGCTTGCGGCAACACATGAGATCTGCAAAATACTCACCATGCTTCTTATCAAATTCCTTGGGGTATTTCCAAAAAGGGGTCATTTGGGGGAGTTTGGTGCTATCCTGGCATTTCAGGGCCTCCGAAACTGTGATGGGTAGTCTGGAAGTGTAATGAGGAAATAAAGTCCTTTAAAAGCCTGAAGGTGCTTATTGGATTTTACTTGGCTAGACTGCCAAAACATCTCTCACATGTGGTACCCCCATACTTGGGAGAAGTAGCAGAATGTATTTTGGGGAGTAATTCAACATATACCCATAGCATGTGTGAACAATAAATCATTTAAGTCACAATTCTGTGTAAAAAAAAAAAATTTTTTTGTTATTTTCCAAAACCTTGTGGTAAAAAAATAAATTCTTCTATTGACTCAACAAGCCTCTCAGCAAATAGTTTGGGGTGTCTACTTTCCAAAAAGGGGTAGTTTTGGGGGTGGGGGCATTTTATGCCCAGCATTAGAAGTTTATGCCAAACATCATTTGGCATAAACTAACCTTCTAACCACCTGAAGACCAAGCCTTTTCTGACACTTTAAGTTCACATAAAAAAAATCTGTATTTTTTTGCTAGGAAATTACTTTAAACCCCCAAACATTCAATATTTTTTAAAGCAGACACCCTAGTGAATAAAATTAGGGATGCTGTAATTTTTTATGTCACATAGTACTCGCGCAGCAATTTTTCAAAAGCAAATTTTTTGAAAAATATACACTGTTTTTTACTTTTAATGCACAAAAACATAATATATTGGCCAATTATTTGGTAACATATAAAAGATGATGGTATGCCGAGTAAATAGATACCAAACATGAAATGCTTTAAAACTGCGCATGCCCCGTGCAATGGCGAATTTTGTGGAGCTGGTCAAATTCAGGGTCACCCCAAGGACAACAGAGTGTGTTGTTGAAATGCATAAAACACAATATACTCTCATATCTATGCCTGGCCATGGCAGCGGAGAACATGGGCATATGATGAATTGGGTCTGTGGACCAATACTACTGCAATTTATTTTTTTTAGTAATGCCCATGTTGAGGGTTAGGCCCAAAAAAGTTACATTCAGAAACCGTGATGGGTTTCCATGCGAATGGTCTGGCAAGGTTTGAATTTGGGTTGGCGGCGATACATTGTTGTGCTCTGCTCAGCCATCCAGAGCAGCGTGTCCAAACTGACAGGGAGGAGGACTGTTGGTAAACAAAGCAGCCCTCCTCCCTGTTGGTGATTGCCGGCAATCACCGTCTGGGACCCGGTGATTGACACCTGCGGCTGCGAATGGCCGCATATATATATACGTGGTTTTGCACATAGGGACCCCCCTGTAGCAGTATATCTACTATAAGGCAGTCCTTAAGCGGTTAAAAATTATTATATATTAGCTACAGGCTTATAAATGGTTATTATGTAGTAAACAATGCAGTTGCTGTTCACCAGCTGTCTAGTATAGACAAATGCATACAGTGGGGCAAATAATTATTTGATCCCCTGCAGATTATGTAAGTTTACAAAGAAATGAAGGGTCTATAATTTTTATCATAGGTGCATTTTAAATGATAGAGATAGAATATCAACCAAAAATCCAGAAAAACACAATACAAATGTTATAAATTGAGTTGCAGTTCAGTGAGTAAAATAAGTATTTTTTTAGCAAGCAAAACATGACTTAGTTTTTGGTGGAGAAACCCCTGTTAGCAAGCACAGAGGTAAGACGTTTCTTGTAGTTGGTTACCAATGTAGTTGGTTGCACACATCTCAGGAGGGATTTTGATCCACTCTTCTAAATCCTTAAGGTTTCTTGGCTGTCTTTGGCAAATCTATAGGATTAAGATCTGGAGACAGGCTAGGCCACTCCATGACCTTAATGTGCTTCTTCTTGAGCCACTCCTTTGTTGCACTGGTGGTATGTTTTGGGTTGTTGTCATGCAGGAAGACCCATCCATGACCCATCATCAGTGTTCTGACTGAGGGAAGTAGGGTTCTAATCCAAGATTTTACAATACATGGCCCCTCAATGTGGCAAAGTCAGCCTGCACCTTTAGCAGAAAAAAACAGCCCCCATGTTTCTACCTCCGTGCTTGACTATAGGGATGGTGCTCTTAAGGTCATAGTCAGCATTTTTCTTCCTCCAAACATGGCAAGTTGAGTTAATGCGAAAGAGCTTAATTTTGGTCTCATCTGACTACAGCACTTTCCCAATCCTTCTCTGAATCATTTAGATGTTCAATGGCGAACTTCAGATGGACCTGTACATGTGCCTTCTTGAGGAGGGGGACCTTGCGGGTGCTGCAAGATTTCAATTCATGGTGGCGTATTGTATTACCAATGGTTTGTTTGGTGACTGCGGTCCTAACTGCCTTGAGATCATTCACAAGCTCCTCTCGTGTAGTTCTGGGTTGATCCCTCACTTTTGTCATGATCATCCTTACCCCATGAGGCAAATACTTGCATGGAGCTCCAGACCAAGGGCGATAGTTATTTTGTATTTCTTCCATTTGTTAATAATCACTCCAACAGTTGTCAACATTTCACCAACGGTCTTGTAGCCCATTCCAGCCTTGTGCAGGTCTACAATCTTGTCCCTGACATCCTTTGACAGCTCTTTGGTCTTTCCCATGGTGGTGGGGTTAGGTGAAAGAAATAGATTCTGTGGACAGGTGTCTTTTATACACATAACGAGTTGTCGTTAGGAGCACACTTCTTAAATTGACAGGACTACTCTGTGTACCGCATGAGCACATAGCCATTCTGTGGGAGCCAGAATTATTGTTGGTTGGTAGGAGCTTGAATATTTATTTTACTCACTGAACTGCAACACAGTTTATAACATTTGTATCATGTATTTTTTTTTTTTTCTGGGTTTTTGGTTCATTATTCTGTCTCTATCATTTAAAATGCACATATGATAAAAATTATAGACCCTTCATTTCTTTGTAAATGCGCAAATTTTACAAAATCTGCAGGGGATTAAATAAATATTTTCTTCACTGTATGCATGAGTTTTTTTTGTCTATGTGTTTGACTAGATGACAGACAGTCTTTATAAATGAATAAAAACATACAGATACAATTTAGGTGTGACACACTCTGGTTTCCACATTCATCCAATGCAACAATGTTTCTGTAATTGTTTTGGAATGCATTTGCTATTTGTTTATACAAATCATCAACTTGTAAAATAAAGTCAATCACTGACAATCCCGAGTATGTGAATGTGATCTTTGGGAGTAGCCTGACGATCCAAAGCAATGCTCTGCTTTTAGTATGATGTGATATTCATTCGTTATATTTGGTCTTAAAATATAGTTTAGTATCAGTCATAATGATACATTTGGAAATATTTTTCCACTAAAATACACACACTTGCTTCTAGCTTAGGCTACGTTCACACTAGCCTTGTTAGCAAGCGGCAGACAGGCATTTGGGAAGCATTTTTACTGTTTCCCAAACGCCTGGGAAAATTCTGCACATTGCAGCACATAGTGCTGTTCAAACGGGAGCGTTAGCGTCACGTTGCATCGCGTCGCGGGAAAACGGACGCCTCTGTTTTAGTCAGGAGGAGTTGAAGCCTCCTATTCAAGTCTATGGTGCCGCTCCGTAAACGCCCATCCGGCGTTTGCGGAGCGATAACACCATTCAAACTTCATTATAGGCATTTCTGGGGCGTTTTAAAACGCTCGGCAAATGCCTAGCAACTGCCGCTAAACTGCGCATGCGGCGTTTGTGGAGCGTTAAAAACGCTCCACAAACGCCAGACCAATGCTTGTCAAACGCTATAGGGGTGTTTGGCAACAGTTGGAAAAACAGTCAAGTGTCAATGAGCCCTTAGTATTAGTCTAAGCTAGAGATTAAAATGATAAGGTAATACAACCTTGTAGAGTGTTTACTAATTTAATTTTGACTTACACTAATAATTTGATGGCGTCCGCGCCGGAAATGACGTCACCTATCTAGACCCTGAGGAAGTCATTGAGCGGTGACGCAACGCGTAAGGGATGTCATTTCCGGTGTGGACGCCATCTTTGGACTCCCTATAGAACCCATGCAAGTATACCCATACATGAGGTTCTAAGTGCTGTATACAAGAAGATGTACCATGTGAGCGTCCTTTGTATATATTTTAATTACTGTGCTAATAAATTGTAATACACTATGGAGGCTTTTCTCTTTGTGGACCATGTGGGAGCTGTTTTCTCTGGATAAGAGCCATTTAGGATATTCATTGAGGATACGCTTTAACCCAGGGGGATCCAGGAGTGATCCATAAGGCATTTAGGCCCTTTTAGGGTCACAGCAAGGAGGTGAGGAGCCAACCTAGCTGTGTGTGGAGCAGGGGCGGACTGACCATTTGGTAACTTGGGCACTGCCCGAGGGCCCGGGGTCAGTAGGGGGCCCCATGAGATGCTCCTGGTACCTTTTTCATAGGCTTTTTTGAGTTTGGGCAAGGACACAGGGGCCCCTATGATCCCCTATTGCCCGGGGGCCCCATGAGTTGTCAGTCCGCCCCTGGTGTGGAGTCATCACCAGAGCCTACAAACGCACAAGATTCACTTGCATGTTTGCATTCATTTTTTGTGGACACTGGTGGCACGTTTTTGTTATATAAGATATCATTTTGAGTGATGTGTTCATGTATATTCACTTGCTGTATATATATATATTTTGTTTTCTGATTTCAGCGGTTCATTTATGGTTATGAATAGACTGTGTTGACACTGAGCACTTGTTTTATAGGGTATATCCCCTGTATTAGGGGGTTTAATATCAGTTATTTCCACCATATGCACAATATTGTGTGATGTTGCACGATTGTAGCATTCATTTACATCATTAGGATTCACTGTTTGTTTCACCATTATGTCACATTTTTTATGTTGAGATTTAGTTTGTTTATAGAGCGCTGCACTTATTGATTGTTATAAAAAACACTAAATGTAAGGACTAAATATCACACAAAAAATAAATAAAAACCTAATTTGTTAAAATAAGGCATGTTTTATACTGAATTGACTACTTTTGAGATAAATACCACATGAGTTATTTTAGGGCAAAAATTCAAGCAGTATTCATTTCTTAGTGAACTGACCCCGAAGTCCTTACTAAATAAGGATCCTTATAAACCTGATAATTATTATTGTGTTATTGAATACATAGGTTTGTCACAATGATAGAGGGGGCTCTAGCACACATAGAGAACAGCTGTATTTTTGTATTACATTTTATGTGGAAGGCAAATATAAGTGTCAGGATTTAAGGACTCTAGGCAGAAAACACCAAATAATGAAATCATTAAAAACACATGATATGCATTTTTAACCACCTAAATATTGGGCACTTTCACCCCCTTCTTGCCCAGGCCAATTTTTAGCTTTCACTGCTGTCGTGCTTTAACCCCTCCCCCTCCTGAGGATTTACCCCCCTTAATGACCAGGCCTCTTTTTGCTACTCGGCACTGCACTAATTCAACTGATAATTGCGCGGTCATGCAATGCTGCACCCAAACGAAATTTATGTCCTTTTTTCCACACAAATAGAGATTTCTTTCGGTGGTATTTGATCACCTGTGCGCTTTTTATTTTTCACGCTATAAACAAAAGAAGACCAAAAATTTTCAAGAAAAACAATATTTTTTACTTTCAGCTATAAAAAATATATAGTAAACTCAAAGTTAGTTATAAATTTAGGCCAAAATGTATTCTGCTCCATGTTTTTGGTAAAAAAAATCCCAATAAGTGTATATTGATTGCTTTGTGTGGAAGTTATAGCGTCTACAAACTATGGTATAGATACTGCAATTTACGCCATTTTTTTGCTATACAGCGCTGTGCTAGTTTAACGGACAATTGCGCGGGTCATGCAATACGGTACATAAATGAAATTTACCTCCTTTTTTTCCCACAAATTGAGCTTTCTTTCGGTGGTATTTGATCGCCTGTGCGTTTTTTATTTTTTGTGCTATAAAAAAAAGGCTGACAATTTTGAGAAAAAAACAATATTTTGGACTTTTTGCTATAAAACATGTCCAGTAAAAAAAAAATTTAAAAAATCAAATTTAGTCATACATTTCTGCCAAAATGCATTCTGCGACATGTCTTTGCTAAAAACCCCAATACGTGTAAATTAATTGGTTTACGTGAAAGTTATAGCGTTTACAAATGGCGGGAAAGATACTGGGATTTTAAATTTTTTTTTTATACTATAATGACGGCAATCAGCGACTTAATGGCGGCGATCAGCGACTTATGGCGGCAATCAGTGACTTATGACGGGATTGCGGCGGACATTCTGACAATGGGGGGAACTGATTTGGGGTCACTGACATCCCCAGTGACACCAATACAGGGATCAGTGCAAAAATAAAACACTGACACTGTACTAATAGCACTGGGGAGGAAGGGGTTAACTTTATTATTCAGTGAAAGGGTTAACTGTGTGAGGGGAGTGTTTTACTAGGGGGCGGGGTGTGTACTGCACAGGGAAACGCTGATCGAGAGAGATAAACTATTCTCTCCCGATCAGCCTGTCAGGAGCTGTCAGGGAACTGACAGAGAGCAGAGCTACTGCAGCCCTGCTCTCTGTCAGTGATTGCCGCTAATCACCGGGACACAGCCGGTAACGACCAGCTGTGACCCGGCGACTGACATCCGTGGCGGTGATCGGCGGGACAGGTAGGGCGGTGGCATGCCTCGCGCGCCCCCCCTACCTGTTTTGAAAACATGTTTTAAAACGTGGTTTTGCCCAGCCGTGCCGCCCTGCCAACATATTTCTACAGTGGCTGGGCGGTATGTGGTTAAGCCTGGGTTCACACTGATGCGGTGCAGATTTCGCAGCGGTTTGTGTGCGAATTCCGCACCGCATCACAATCGCACCTCGTTCATGCAAAGCGCTACGGGTGTGTATGTTAAGTTAACAACACCCCAAAATTGGTCCGCAAAACACGGTGCGATGTGCAGAATCGAATTGCACGGGTGTGAATACCCATGCGATCCGATTCTAGTGCAGCAACTTTTTGGTGTGAATGCGGTATGATTTGATTCATACAAAATGTATGGCTCAAATCGCACCACACAGAATTTGCATGTGATTTGCACAGGAATGCGGTGCGGTTCCTGTGCGAATCACATGCGGTATGCCGCAGCGCACAAGGGTGAACCTAGGCTGAAAAATATATGAAAGTGTTATAATTTTTTGAGACAGAAAGAGCTTTATTTTGGTGGTATTTTAATCACCACTATTTTTCTTTTTTTGTGCAATAAAACGAATTTTCAAATAAGTAATTTTTCTTCAGAAATTTTGATCAAAATTTATACTGCTACATTTCTTTGGTAAAATAACCCCAATCAGTGTATACTATTTGGTCTGTGTGAAAGTTATAGAGTCTACAAGCTATGGTACAAGTCACTGAAAATTGATCACACCTGATCACTACTGATGTACTAAGGGCCTATCTTATTTCATGAGACACAAACAAGCCAGGACAGTACAAATACTCCCAAATGGCCCCTTTTTGGAAAGTAGTCAGTCCAAGGTATTTAGTAAGAGGCATGGCAAGTTTTTTGAAGTTGTAATTTTTTTCCACAATTATTTGGAAATTAAGAATTATTTGTCACATGCGGCATAGGCATACTTGCAACTACACCCGAAAGCATATTCTGCTAGTCCTCCTGAGTATGGCGGTACCACATGTGTGAGACTTTTTCACAGCTTAGCAACAAAGAGGCCCAACATCCAAGGAGCACCTTCTGGCGTTATCCACTTTAAGACCAGGCTTCCTTCTGGTGCTTTTTGTTTTACAAGCAAAAATCTGTATTTTTGCTAGAAAATTACTTAGAACCCCCCCCGAACATTATATATTTTTTAGAAGATGCCCTAGAGAATAAAATGGTGGGTTTTGCAAATTTATATATCACGCAGCGTTTTTTCGAACGCAATCTTACACGCTAATGCAAAAACACACTTTAGTGAATGTTAATGCACACAAACACAATATAGTATCCAGTTGATTGGTGAAATCTAAAATATGGTGTTGTTCCGAGTAAATGGATACCAAACATGTGACAGTTTAAAATTGCACACGCTTGTGAAATGGCACCAAAGTTCGATATTTAAAAATCCCCATAGGTGATGCTTTATAAGCCTTTTTAGGTTACCAATTTAGAGTTACAGAGGAGGTCTGGTGCTAGAACTATTGCTCTCGCTCTGACATTCACAGAAATACCTCTCATGTGTGGCGCGATTACCGTTTACGTATGCGTATGGGACCAACGTGTGCGTTCACCTTTGCATGCGAGCACGGGGAGGGCGGGGGCGCTTAAAATTTTTAATTTATTTATTGGTGGGACACAGATACACTGACAGATGTTTTTGCGCACTTGTACATTGTGACAGATGTTGATCATCCATTGGCGGACACCGACAGATGGTTTTGTGCACTGGTAAACTGTGACAGATGTTGATGTGACACTGGTATACTGTGACAGATGTTGATGTGACACTGGTATACTGTGACAGATGTTGATGTGACACTGGTATACTGTGACAGATGTTGATGTGACACTGATATACTGTGACAGATGTTGATGGGGCACTGGTATACTGTGACAGATGTTGATGGGACACTGATATACTGTGACAGATGTTGATGGGACACTGGTATACTGTGCCAGATGTTGATGGGACACTGGTATACTGTGACAGATGTTGATGGGACACTGGTATACTGTGACAGATGTTGATGGGACACTGGTATACTGTGACAGATGTTGATGGGACACTGGTACACTGTAACAGATGTTTTGTGCACTGGCACACTGATTCAGATGTAAATGTGACACTGGTTCAGATGTTAAGGTGACACTGGTACAGTGGTTGATGGGACACTTGGACAGGGACAGATGGTGCTGGGTGTACTGTGTGGGGATGACTGCAATCTGTGTGATCTCTGTATAACTGAACACTAAAATCATCTGCTAGACAGAGAGCTGCCACAGGCTGCAGCATCCCCCCTGCAATGAGCTTTCACTGAGATTAGCAGGTATAACTGACACAGAGATACGTGTCTCTGATCGGGAGGGCCAATCACAGTGCCCATGTCCCAATCTGTGATATCCTATGTCCAAGGGACACAGATATCACAGGATCGCATCACTGCGTGGCACATGTTCTGACAGGACATACAGGAACATCCACTCAGAAATGGAAAGCTCCCACCCAGCCGTTTCCATGCAGTGGCCAGGTGGGAAGCAGTTAAAAAAGAATTCCAGGTATGAATATTTTTGCATAGTTACGTTGACCAGGTTGGACCAATGTAACTGTAAATATACCATAGCTGGCGGATGCACCTGGAAGCTGCCACACTGTGATCTCCACTAGGTCCTGGGTTCTAGGCTGAGCAACTGCCCTGCTTCTTACTGAACACAGGAGGTTGCCTGCTTAGCACAGGTGCCATTTGGAGAACTTTCTGCATTTAATGAATGTATGCACAGCCTTCTCTGTTTGAACGAGGTGGAGATTGTGATGTCACTACCCCACCTCTCCACTTCATGAAATCAGAGAGCGGGGCTGTTAGTAGACTCCTTCTTAGTGGTTCTGTTTTCCCAATTCCATGCCAGGCATTTGCAATACAGCATTCTGAGACAAGTCAGTTCTGTCTCTGGAAAACCAAATGCAGCAGATTCTAAGGACCAGGCTGTCCCTGGCTTAGTGGCTTCATAATCTGGCATTGGGAGTCAAGGAATTTTTTTTTTCCATGTTCTGTAGAATCCTAATGATGGACATCAGAATCAGGCTAGGGAAGTGTCTGAGCTGGACGCTTTGTCCTGCAAGGAACCCTTCTTGGTTCTGCACAAGAACAAGTTAGTCTTGACGCTCAGGATTTCCTTTCTTCTCAAGAGTGTCCACTGTTTAGTTAATCAGAACACTGTTCTTCTGTTCATATGTCCCCAGTTCCCTCAAAGGAAAATACTTTCCATTGTTTACATGTGGTTCGAGCTGTGTGAGTCTTCCAGCTACTGCTTCTTTCAGGAAGTCGGTTTCCCTTTTTGTCATTCTGGATGGGCCCAGGAAGGTGACCCATAAAGACCATTGTTCAGGCATCAGGCCTTTGTTTCTGATATTTTTAAGGCTGCCACCTAGTCTTCTGTTCAAATGGTCAGGTGAACATTTATATCAGCTTCAGGCATAAGGTCCTTAAGGAAAGTCTTTTTTTTTTTATAAACATTGGGACCGTTAGCAGTTGGACTGTTTTTGGACATCCCACAAAGTTAAGACTTCCTGTATACTTTATTGGGTGACAAAGAAAATAGGATTTTTGCACTCTCTATTAATTACTTTTCTATGAGTTAATTGAAGCACACAGGTTGTGCCCAGGGGCGGACTGACCATTTGGAAACTCGGGCACTGCCCGAGGGCCTGGGGTCAGTAAGGGGCCCCATGAGATGCCCCTGGTACCTTTTTCATAGGCTTTTTTGAGTTTGGTAAAGTACACAGTGGCCCCATGATCCCCTATTGCCCGGGGACCCCATGAGTTGTCAGTCCGCCCCTGGTTGTGCCCCTCTGTTTTTATGAGCATGCCCTCTGTACTGCAAAACTGAGGCATGTTGGTAATAAGAGGAGCCTGGGCTGGCCTACAGTTTTTTTGTTTGCCAGTGTCCAGTCCTCCTGTAGGGCCAATATAACCCAAAAGGATTAAGGCATCCTGTGTCCCTTAATGGACTCTAGAAAAAGGTACAAAAAATCTTCTTTTTGTTGGTGCAAGGATTACAGTTTCTGTGTCCAGGGTGTATACAGCAAGCATGTTCACCTTTCATTTAACCCTTTGAGGACCAAGGGACGTATTTGTCCCATGTTTGTAATTGCGTGTATCATCTGATTAAGAACTTAAAACTCTTTCTTTTTTTTTTTGGTTTGAGTCAAAATATTAGTTCTTATCAACAAACAACAAATGGATCTAGCTTTTTGCCAATTATTTCATGAAATGGCTTAGTCACAGCAACTGAAGTGTACGAACTTTAAAAACAAAAAAAATTGATTCTTTTGTCGTTCCAAAACCTTACGGTCCTCAAAGGGTTAACCGTGCTCTTTAGGCAATGCTCAGTATTCCAAGAAATGTAAACATGCCTACTGTTTTTGCAAGCCACATGCCATCTGTGTCTCCATGTCCCCCTTTCTCAAGTTCTAATGTTGGGAGGTATGAAATTGGCATTTTGGAATAATTAAACAACAAACAAACGGTTTACTCCTTTGTCATTTGTGTGCCCACACTTAGCTACATCCCAAGGATCAACCACTGAACACAAAACATCATTGACTGGCATGGCAGAGCAATCATTGCTTATTTTTTTGGCAACGTTACGCAGGCCCATCATGTCTGTGTTGTCAGGACTAATATATTTATTTTTTAGCTCACGATATTTTAAGCCGAGTATGAGACTGTGCCCTTTAATCTTTACAAATTTAACTCTCTGCCTTGATTTGTGTGATATAGTAACTGTAAAAAATAAAACGTGTATTTTTAGCTAAAACATAAATAACACGCCTTAAATAAACCAGGCAAGTGCTTCCATGTATGTTGGGCTCTAAATCACTTGACATAGCATCATGTTCCATGTCTACCAAGTTCCTGATGATAACCCCAAATGCCCATGGCTAGAATCAGACACTGCGTGTAAAACAAGTGCCGTATCAAATTCTCTGGGCGAAGTTACTTCAATGTTTGTGATTTCATCCTCACACTATATATAACTGTACGGTATATGTTTGATGATTACATATATGCTGACACCAGACTAACAAGTCTTAAAATAACAGCAGATTTCCCAGAGAGCAGCTGAGGGTTAAAGACAAAATGCCATCTTATTTGAGTCATGCAAATGAGACACATTCAGATTTGGATAGTGTGCTACATTTTTTTTCTCCTTGGTCTTTATTTTCATTACCAGTTGTGCTCATCGCTTTCCTTACAAACAGAGGGTTCTTTGTCTTGGCCTAATGAAGCTGTATTAATAGGTATTCTATGGCCTAGTTATAACCAACGTGCATAAGCAACCAAAGAAAAGTAGCAGCAAAATGTACTGTGAGATTCCCATAAACTGTTTGGTGTGACAGAACTAAGTAATTGTATAATTTACTGTTTTCTGATAATGATCAAGTGCTATTTTGAAATGCTTAAAGTAGAACTCTAGGCAAACCTTTTTTTTTTTTTCATTTTGGATAGGGTAAGGGAGGGTTATAACCCCTGTAAAGTTTTTTTTTGCCCTTTTTGTCCCATTGGGGAGATTTATCTTCACTTCTTGTTCCATAGCCAAAACAGGAAGTGAGAGGAAATCCCTGCAAATTAACCACTTGCCGCCCTGCCACTGTAGAAATACGGCGGCAGGGTGGCACGGGCAGGCAAAACCACGTTTTAAAATGCGCGTTTTGTAAACAGGTAGGGGGCGTGCGCAAGGCGTGCCGCCGCCCTACCTGTCCCGCTGATCACAGCCGCGGATGTCAGTTGCCGGGTTACAGCCGGTCCTTACCGGCTATCTCCTGGCGATCGGCGGCAATCAGTGACAGAGAGCACAGCTGCAGTAGCTGTGCTTTCTGTCACTTCCCTGACAGCTCGAGGACAAGCTGATCGGGACAGAAGAGTTTCACTCTCCCGATCAGCCTGTCCCCATCCAGCACACACCCCCCGCCCCCTAGTAAAACACTCCCCTCACACAGATAACCCTTCCCTGCAAAATAAAGTTAACCCCTTCCTCCCCAGTGCCATTAGTACAGTGTCAGTGTTTTTTTTCTGCACTGATCACTGTATTGGTGTCACTGGGGATGTCAGTGACCCCAAGTCAGTACCCCCCAATGTCAGAATGTCCGCTGCAGTCCCGCCATAAGTCGCTGATCGCCGCCATAAGTCCCTGATCGCCGCCATAAGTCGCTGATCGCCGCCATTATTAGTATAAAAAAAACTAAAAATCCCAGTATCTTTCCCGCCATTTGTAAACGCTATAACTTTCACGTAAACCAATCAATTTACACGTATTGGGGTCTTTTTTTAGCAAATACATGTCACAGAATGCATTTTGGCAGAAATTTATGACTAAATTTGATTTTTACATTTTTTTTTACTGGACATGTTTTATAGCAAAAAGTACAAAATATTGTTTTTTTTCCTCAAAATTGTCAGCCTTTTTTTTATAGCGCAAAAAATAAAAACTGCACAGGCAATCAAATACCACCGAAAGAAAGCTCAATTTGTGGGAAAAAAAGGAGGTAAATTTCATTTATGTACCGTATTGCATGACCGCGCAATTGTCCGTTAAACTAGCAAAAAAATGGCGTAAATTGCAGTATCTATACCATAGTTTGTAGATGCTATAACTTCCACACAAAGCAATCAATATACACTTATTGGGATTTTTTTTTTACCAAAAACATGGAGCAGAATACATTTTGGCCTAAATTTATAACCAGATTTGAGTTTACTATATATTTTTTATAGCCGAAAGTAAAAAATATCGTTTTTCTTCAAAATTTTGGGCCTTTTTTTGTTTATAGCGTGAAAAATAAAAAGCGCACAGGTGATCAAATACCACAGAAAGAAATCTATATTTGTGTGAAAAAAAGAACGTAAATTTTGTTCGGGTGCAGTATTGCATGACCGCGCAATTATCAGTTGAATTAGTGCAGCGCCGAGTAGCAAAAAGAGGCGTGGTTATTAAGGGGGGTAAATCCTCAGGAGGTCAAGTGGTTAAGGGAATCTTTTGAGGCTTCCCAGGTCACCAGAACTAGAATCTCCATTGGAACATTTCCCCTCTATTGCCTTTCTAGGGGACAACTCAGATTTGGGATTTCACTTTCAATAATAATGGTAAACAGGACAAATAGAGAAGGCGAACCTCCCTCACGGGGACACAGACACCAATAAAAACTGACAGATATTCTAATCCCTCCCCGCTCTATCCAAAACAAAAAAAAATGTTTGCTTTTAGTTATACTTTAAAGCTGAACTCTGGGCTGGAAAAAAATTTTAACAACCATTTTTTTTCTCTCTTTTTTTTTTTTCCAATCAAGTCAAATCTACATGCTGCTTGAGTTGGTCTGTTATCCAGCTATCAGGATCAGCGTATTCTGAGCAAAAGCTTTAGAGGCTATACCCCAGACATAGACTGGACCAGGGGTGGACTGACAACTCATGGGGCCCCCGGGCAATAGGGGATCGTAGGGCCCCTGTGTCCTTGCCCAAACTCAAAAAGCCTATGAAAAGGTACCAGGGGCTTCTCATGGGACCCCCTACTGACCCTGGGCCCTCGGGCAGTGCCCGAGTCTCCAAATGGTCAGTCCACCCCTGGACTGGACGATTGTGGGGTTATCTGGAATGTGATCTCTGTTTACTTTGTTATTTGGCAGTAGGGAGTTTTTCAGGACCAGAGCTGTGGCACATCCTCTGGTTTGAACCTGTGGACTAATTTAATGAATAGGCCATATGACCTGAGCACCCAGGGCTATTTTGTTTATTAGAACCTCTGGGCACAATTATTAACCCTTCTTTTATTTTGGTCTCCATGGAAAGGAAGGAATTGAGTGCTGTGTTACTAGCAAGGTGTCACACGTGCAATTATTCCATGCTCTTTACCTGCCATTGAGGTAGCTCTTTCCCACCACTGCTCCTTATAGACTGCTGTCTATCACAAGAGACACGTGGTTCACCTCCATTAGTCTTTGCTGTTACCTACAGTAACCTAGTCACCTCTGGCCATTTGAATCTTTCTTGCTTCTAGCAGTTGGTTCGTGAGTGCTCGAAGTTTTACCTGGTACTAGAGCTAAGTTGTTTCAGTTTGTGGTCCAACATGTCGGATCCCAAGCACAATAGGAGCAGTCCCTCTGACTCACTGTCCACTTACAGTCCCAGGATAGCCTGCAGTGTTCCCTCTCAATGACCTTACATAACAGCTTTAGAACATTATCCCCTGCTTGAGTCCTCACATTCCTCTGAGTCCTTATGCAAGATTTTATGGGCCAAATTCCCCAGCAGAATCATTATTGGTTGTGGATGCTGTTTCTGAAGAGGAGTTTCAAAAATCCTTGCCAGATGTGGTTGTTCCTGAGGAGTCACAGGCAACTGCCATAACTCCCAGGCTTAGAGAGACCATTTTCACTCTTATTGACATGGTGCAGGCCAACATAAAGATGCAGCCTTTAACTTCTGCTAGTGCAACTACCTGCCTAGGATCCCTGAGATTCCCTAATGCAGGCCATAGATGGGTCGAAAATCGGCCGATTTTTTTGGCCGAAAAAAAAAAATCGGCCGAATTTTGCACCATTAATGGGTTAATTGGTCGGCTGTTTTTCTGGATTTTGACAGATTTTTTGATTGGTAAAGTTGGAAAAAAATCAGCCGATTTTGCCGATCGGCCGATTTTCACAGCAATGATGGGCATATCGGCCTGATCTTTTTACCAATAAAAAATCTGCGCATGAGCCGTGACCTGCAAGTAAAAGAAGAAGAAGAAAAAAATAAAAAAGAAAAAGAAAAAGAAAAAAAAGAAGAAGAGAAAGAAAGAAGAAGAAGAAGAAGAATAAGAAGAGAAAGAAGAAGAAGAAGAGGAAGAAGAAGAAGAAGAGAGAAGAAGAAGAAGAAGAAGAAGAGAGAAGAAGAAGAATAAGAGAAAGAAGAAGAAGAAGAGAAAGAAGAAGAGAAAGAAGAAGAAGAGGAAAAAGAAGAAAGAGAAAGAAGAAGAAGTAGAAGAAGAGGAAGAAAAAGAAGAGGAGAAAGAGAAAGAAGGAGAAGAGAAAGAAGAAGTAGAGAAAGAAGAGAAGGAAGAATTCCAGTCCGCTATTATATTTGACATTAAAAAGTATTGCGGTTGCAACAATGTATCTATTTGTATCCGAAAAAACATCTGTATCCGAAATGGATACAAATAGATACAATGTTGTAACCGCAATACTTTTTAATGTCAAATATAATAGCGGAGCTCTCTGCAGGGACAGAAGTAATTAAATGCCGGCCGTAGACGGGAAGAAAATCGGCCGATTTTTTTTTACTGTTGTTGGTAACGTCGGCCTATTGAACGACCGATTTTTCGTTTTTTTGTTAAAAAAACGGCCGGTTTTCTCCCCATCTATGGCCTGCATAAGAATACTAAAACTTTTTCCATGCACACACTGGAGTAGATTTTCTTAAGGCAAATAGACTGTTCACTTTGCAAGTACAATTATGCTCTGCAAGGGAATTATCCCTAGAGCCTAAAGTGTTACTAAACCCAGGACCCTGCATTCACTATATCCGCTCTCCCCCCGACCCTGCATTCACTATATCCACTCTCCCAGGACCCTGCATTCACTATATCCGCTCTCCCCGGACCCCTTCGGACCCTGCATTCACTATATCCGCTCTCCCCGGACCCTGCATTCACTATATCCGCTCTCCCCGGACCCTGCATTCACTATATCCGCTCTCCCCCGGACCCTGCATTCACTATATCCGCTCTCCCCGGACCCTGCATTCACTATATCCGCTCTCCCCGGACCCTGCATTCACTATATCTGGTCTACCATAGTACATACTACATGGAAATGCAATTATTGTAGTAAATATAAACTGCTAAATAACTTTTCCTGTGATAATTCCCTTGCAGACTACAACTGCACATGGAAAGTGAAATGGTCTATATGCCTTTAGTAAATCAACCCCATTATTTGCAGACATTCTCTATGCTTCCTGGTAAAAATCTGATAAACTGTTTAAGCCATGTTTTGCAAGCAATATTTGTATGAGGGAGTCATTATTAACTACCTGAAAACCACTCACAGTAAATATACTGCGAGCGGGCAGCAGGTGCAGGCACAATCATGTAATCATGTATATCGGCTACTTCTTGTGGGTTCGCCGATGCATATGCGCTCGCCCCTTGTGACCTGTGCTGTGATTGGACGCAGCACGAGTTTGGCAGCTGATTTCAGCCAGTGATTTTGGCTGAAGTCAGCTGATCGGCTTTGTCCAATTACACACAAAGTTCTATGTTTACAAAAACACAGAAATCTGTGTACAGGGAACAGCAATCTGGCTGTTTCTTCTTGCAAAGCAGGGAAAAAAACATTCAGGTAGTAAATTAAAAGTGCCACACATTACACATTGTTAGGCACACAGTTATTCCTTTAATTGCCCCTAGATGGTAACCTCTTCCCAGTACAGTGTCAGTGTACAGTATTATCACTGATCACTGAATTATTGTTACTAGCAACGTCACTGTCAGTGCTGTCAGTGACCCTCCCAGATCTGTCTGTTAGCACCATATTGTCACCACTTTCACAGTCCTACTGTAAGTCGCTGATCACCGCCATTACAATATAGCATCTATAGTTGTGTAAATTCCAGTAAATATATATCATAGATGAATAAAGTGCAGCGCTAAAGCATATCAAAAAAGTTCGTTCTTAGAAGTTTGTTGTCAAAAGTTCATAAGATATCTCGATCAATACTATGGTGTACACAGCTAGAAGGATCAAGTAGAAATGACAGAAATGCGCACTCACCGACCGCGCATAGGAAATGCGCATTTGTGTGTTAAAAACACAAGTGTCGAACTCCCTCAGACGAGGTATCATCAGGCGGTGATCTGCTAGGCTCACAGGACCTCCTTAAGATCAGGATTAAAGACGGCCAGGTGAGGTCAGCCTCCCCTCTGAAGATGTGCTCTAGCACGAAAGGCCTCAGGAGGAACTGACAGCTTGTGACGCCTCATCGCCGCCCAGACCACGAGGAGGTCAATGCCATTTTACTCTAGGTCAGTACCAGTATTTTTACTATACACTTTCTGGCTGTTTGCCAGTTTTGAATACTACCTGTCCTGTTATATATGTTATTTAAATAAACTTTTTGATATACTAACACTATGGGCATTCTATCCCGTTTTTTAACCCCTTATTGAGGGTTATCAACTGGTTTTAGACACAGCATATCTGGTAGAGAGGAGCCCTCTACCTGGCCGTCTTTAATCCTGATCTAAGGAGGTCCTGTGAGCCTAGCAGATCACCGCCTGATGATCCAACCTCTCCTGAGGGAGTTCGACACTTCGCCCCTTGTGACCTGTTTTATTGGACACAGCAAATGCGCATTTGGCAGCTGATTTCAGCCAGTGATTTTGGCTGAAGTCAGCTGATCGGCATTTCTGTCCAATTCTACTGGACAAAGTTCTAGTTTACAAAACATAGAAATCTGTGTACATCAGAATATGGCTGTTTGAACTTTTGACAAAGCAGGGAAAAAAACTTCAAGTAAATTAAAAGTGCCACACATTACACATTGTTAGGCACACAGTTTTTTTTAATTGCCCCTAGATGGTAACCTGCCCAGTACTTTATCAGTGTACAGTATTATCACTGATCACTGAGGATTATTGTGATAGCAACGTCACTGTCAGTGTGTCATTGACCCTTAGATCTGTCTGTTAGCACCATATTGTCACCACTTTTCCTACTGTAAGTCGAGCGCCATTACTTTATAGCATTATAGTTTGTAAATTCCAGTAAATATATATCATAGTTTGTAGATGCTATAACTTAACTACTGTATATAAATTAATATACACTTGTTGGGATTTTTTTTTTTTTTTTTACCAAAGGCATGTAGCAGAATATATTTTGGCCACAATTTATGAAGATATTAGATTTTTAATTTTTTTATTGGATGTGTTTTATAACAGAATTTAGAAAATAGTGGGTTTTTTCCCCAAAACTTTCTGACATTTTTTCGTTTATATAATAAAAAAAACAGTGGCGATCAAATACCACCAAAAGAAAGCTCTATTTGTGTGAAAAAAATATAAAAATGTAATTTGTGTACAGTGTTGCATGACTGAGCAACTGCCAGTTAAAGTAGTGCAGTGCTGAAAAGCAAAAATGGGTCAAGTCATGAAGGGAGCAAAACCTTCTGGAGGTCAAGTGGTTAAAACGTAGGCTGTTTTTGTAGTTGATTCAGCAGTATCCCATCGTAGTAAAACTCTGAAGATCTTTGTAGAGGATGCACCAGTACCCAAAGTGGAATTCCAGCTTATACCTAACTACTCTTAAAACTGTCCCCTCCCCCTCCTAACACCTATCTGACCTGTGTAAGAAAGATGTATACACTTACCTATTTTTCCTGCCTTTTAACTAACATTTATGTTTTTTTATTTGGTGTGTGAGTTAGCACCCCACTGAGAAGACCAACTCACCAGCAGGGGCAGACTGACCATTTGGAAACTCGGGCACTGCCCAAGGGCCCGGGGTCAGTAGGGGGCCCCATGAGATGCCCCTGGTACCTTTTTCATAGGTTTTTTTTGAGTTTGGGCAAGGACACAGGGGCCCCATGATCCCCTATTGCCCGGGGGCCCCATGAGTTGTCAGTCTGCCCCTGCTCACCAGGTCTCACACCAGAAGTAACATGTCTTCACTGACCAGACATTCTTGAAGAATGAAACTTGTTTACTGAGGTTAAAGGTGTATTTTCCTCCAATAAATGACAGAACATATTTTAACCCCTCGCCTACCGGGCACTTATACCCCCTTCCTTACCAGGCCATTTTTCAGCTTTCAGCGCTGTCGCACTTTGAATGACAATTACGTGGTCATGCAACATTGTACCCATATGACATTTTTATCATTTTTTTCTAACAAATAGAGCTTTCTTTTGGTGGTATTTAATCGCCACTGGTGGTTTTATTTTTTGCGCTATAAACAAACAAAAAAAATAGCAAAAAATTTGAAAAACAAAAAGGTTTCTTTGTTTCTATTATAAAATTTTGCAAACAGGTAATTTTTCTCCTTTACTGATGTGTGTTGATGAGGCTGCACTGATAGGTAGCACTGATGGGCACTGATAGGCGGCACTGATAGGCAGCACTAATGAGGTGGCATGGATAGGTGGCACTGATAGTTGGAACTGATAGGCGGCACTGATGATGGGTACTGATAGTCAGCACTGCTGGGCTGCACTGATGGGCACTGGTGGGTGGCACTGATGGGCAGAGGTGGGTGGTACTGATGGGTACAGGTGGGTGGCACTGATGGACAGAGTTGGGTGACACAGGTGGGTGGCACTGATGGGCACAGGTGGGTGGCACTGCTTGTCACTGGTGGGTGGCACCGCTGGGCACTGGTTAGCGGCACTGCTGGGCACAGGTGGGTGGAACTGGTGGGTGGAACTGGTGGGTGGCACTGCTGGGCACCGATCATCAGGGTACTGATCATTAGTGCCCTGATGATCGGTGCCGATCCCTGCTCTGACAACTGCCGGTTCTCAGCAGTACTTTCCCCACGTTCTGACAGCGTGAGGAAAGTGCAGCCGAGAACCGGCAATTGCATTTCCCTGTGATCCGTGTCATTGTGATCACATGGTAAAAAGCCGCTGTGATTGGCCTTTTACCACATCATGTGATCAGCTGTGTCCATAGGACACAGCGATCATGGAGATTGCCAGGTGTGCGCCCCCGGGGGCGTGCAGGACAGCGCATTCTGGGTGGACGTCCTATGATGCCCTCCCGGAAACTGGCTGGCCACAGTGTAGCCATCATTCGGCTATCTGCGATCGGCAACTGGTTAAGAAGCTACATGAACAGTGGCACTTTCTTTGGCGCTCTGACTGTGGTTGTGAGTTCTTTCTCGGACTCAAACCCCTCACATGTACTTCCTCTCCCCTAGTGCATTAGCTCCAAGCTCAGTATTTTAGACCTCGTTCCTTGATGGTGGGGGAGAACAGTAACAGCTGGGAATGACTTAGCAACAACCTAGCAACAAGGCAGGATGGGATGATGCCACCTCTGGGATTTCAGTCAGGCTTCAAGAGATACATAAATATCTGCACCCCTAGCACGGGCATTATTCAAATTTGGTGACAGCATTCAGTAAATATATACATTAATTGCAAAATTCATAAAGCTATAACTCACAATGAGAAATCTCTGTATAGGCTTTGTTTCCCAAAGTATATTCAAGCAGTTATAAACACTGTCATAACATAAACATAGTTGTCATGTCATCAGTTTTGACCATTAAAATTAACTTTGCACTGCCAGATAGTAAAAGCACCCTCTACTTGTTGTATTTTACCTCCATGGCATCTCCACCTCTCCCAACAATGCAATATGCATCCTCAGTACCTTGCTATGAGGAACACAACATGTCATTGTGGGGTCGAAATATGCTGGCTTCCTGGATTAAGGGGCTTTTACTGGCAGTGAGCACATGGTCATATCTATTCAATGTAAAAGTAATTTTAATGAGTTTAAATGATTGATCAAGTTTTTGGAAGAACTGTTTTTGAAAAAATAATGTATTGAAGAAGAACCGAGGAACAAAAATCAATTCAATCACTCAATCACAATTGCAAGATAGGCTCCTTTCTCACAGATATCAGTTCTATTTATGCATAGAAAGGGCAGCACAGTGGCTAAGTGGTTAGCACTTCTGCATAGCAGCACCAGGGTTGTTGGTTTGAATCCCAACCATGACACTGCCTGCCTGGAGTTTTCATGTTCTCCCTGTGTGTGCGATGGGTTTCCTCCAAAGACATGCTGGTAGGACAATTGGCTCCTGTCTAAAAATAATAACTAACTAATATTTATTATTTTTGTTAGGCAATAGTTATTATTTCTAGAAACTTTTACATGAAGTATTACAAAAACAAAATTAACCTTCCTGACGGTATTCCCGAGTGTAGCTCGGGGTAAAATGTCAGTACCAAAAGCGGTAACCCCGAGCTACACTCGGGCTTACCATGCGGCGTTGCTCAGGGAGTCCCTGCAGCGCTTACCTTGTCCTTCGCTCCCGCGATGTGTCCCCTGCAGCGTCCCCAGCCATCTCCTCCGGCCGATGCCAGCATCCGACTTCTGTGTTCCGGTCCCTGTGACGTCGGAACTGGCGGCAAATTTGAAATTTTTTAAAAATGTCATTTTTTTAAAAAATGATTATTATATAGTAATGCTGTTTCAATGCATTTCACATACATTTTGTCCTGAGTGCTGTGCCCTGCCTACATTTTGACTGTTCTTTCTTCCTGGAAACTACACTCGGGCTTACCATGCAGCGCTGCTCCGGGATCTGTTCTTCTCTTACCTTGTCCTGCGCTCCCCGCGATGTCCCTCCTGCAGTGTCCCCGGCAATGTAATCCGGCGGAAGCCGGCATCTGTCATCGGGACGTACGGGGGACGGAACGGCGGGAAATTTGAAAATGACAAGAAGTGACACATTCACTAAATTCACTAAAATCACATAGTATAACATTCCTGTATCAAACCATTTCACATACATTTTGTCCCTAGTGCTTTGTCCGGCGCCCTGCCTGCATTTTTACTGTTCTTTCTGCCTGGAAACTGAGAAACATCCATGGTGTCCAAAAAGCGTCCCTTTAGGTCAAAAGCGGTTTTAGACCGGCTAGAGAACAGCGATAGTAAATCAGAACCACTTGCAGAATTGAGTGATAATGATTCGTGGGGGAAATTCCTCATCAGACACTGAAAACGATTTTGCGACTTTGCTCAGCGATGTGCGAATTTGCCTCTGTATTTCAAATTTCAGTGTTTTTGGTTTGATTATATTATTGAATTAAATTTATTATTATTATATTATTATTTTTTATGATTATTAATTAAATTATAATTTATGATTTTGTGTTTCAAGTTTTATCCTCCCGGGATGTTTACTAGACTCTTGTTCGTACAGATTTCAGTGAGTTATTCCTAAAAATTACAGCCTACAATAAAAAACTACATATTTCCATGAAAAAAAATGGTACCGCTTTCAGCACCAAAAATCGGAAATAATCATACCGCCAGGGAGGTTAAAAAGGAACTTTATTGTCGAGTATCCGCAACGACTCCCAACATAAATTTTTGAAAATATGGGAGCCGTGGTTGCAATATGCCTTTCCCACACTCTCCCCGGCTAGTCTGGGGATGTAATGGCGTTCGGTATTGGCGCTCTTGGACCCCTGCCCCTTGCCCCTCTCTTTTTTTTTTTTCTCTTTCTCTCTCTTTTTTTTTCTTCCCCTCTTTCTTCTTTTTTCATTCTTTCTTTGTTTTGGTGTGACTGGCCTGCTGCATTTAGTTGTTATAGTCAGTTACAGTAATGTTTTGTAATTTATGTGCCATTGATAGCCTCTGTGTGGGCGTACCTTTTGCCCTGTTGGCATTAGAGCACGGTTTTTCCTTTTTTTTTTTTTTTATTTTGCATTTTTTTTATCTGTGCAATTGATAGCCCCTGCGTGGGCGTGTTTTATTGCCTCTCTTTTTATACTGTTTAAAAATTAATAAAAAACATTGAAATAGAAAAAGGAACTTTATGTGACCTAAAATTTCTTTTGTATGTAAAGCATTACATGTATAGTCAATGGAAGGATTTAAAATGATATAAAAGTTCTTTGTGATGACATTATGCTTTTTAGGGCAACACATAAAACAAACTCATAAAACATACAGTATACTATAACTATTGCTTACAACTGTAATCTCACATAATAGTTTTCTGTTCCAAACAGTTAATAGCAAATAATAAGACCACGGTGTTGATGTTATAGGGGTTTTCAGTGTGCTACTGTACTTGGAGTATACTGTTAGATTTCATTGAAAAATGCAGTCACACCCACAACTAAATTGATATGCCAAGAAACTGAAACTCTCGTATTCATAGCTCAACCGTATGAAATCTTTCATCATACCACTATGTGGATATATCAAATTGTTTGGATTTAATGGAGAGCTTGGATTATTTGAGTGGAACAAGATACCGGTTATTTAAGGAATGTACATATATGGGGATCATATTCATACATGTGTTCAAATGCATACAGGATTAAAGTAACTACGACACATTATGTAGATGTATTTTTATGCCAAGATAAAATCAGATTCCACTATGACTGTGAGTATTGACAGCATTTGATTGGACTACAATGGGAGTGCTTGCTATGCCCAGACTGCACAGGAATTTGTTTTGGAAGTTTAGTATACTCTTTAATGAGAATATCTGCTATTGTCCTACTTTCTGTGCAGTTGCTAGGATCCAGCTCTAATTATTTGCAGCAGGATGATTATGTGCGGCCTAAAAGGAAAATAATAGCTGTGAGACCCCTGGCATAATATGTTTACATAATAATTCATTTTCTTGTGACTCAAAAAAAATGTAAGTTACTGTTGCGTGGCACGTGTATTTATCTTGATACATCTGAAAGGTACATAAGAGGTCCTACTTGAAACATTTCTGGTACGATTGTTAACCAATTCAATACCGGGCAATTTTACCCCCTTCCTGCCCAGGCCATTTTTCAGGTTTCAGCGCTCTCACACTTTGAATGACAATTGCGCGGTCATACAACATTGTACCCAAACTAAAATTTTATCAT